AATACATCTTCACCATGAATATTTGTTTACCATGCGCCATTTTTGTTTACCGTTATGCATATAATTACGAATGTAGGTAGCTTTTAGTATATAACTTACCTTTCTCTGGTGATGTCGCACAAATCACAATTTGTATGAAAGGCACTGGTAATAAATGCTTTATGTATACCTGTGTCGTAAATAAATGAAATACATGAAATACCATCAACTATCGTCCTTATACAAAAGGTTTAAAGACTGGTACATTGATCATTATTGAAACTATGCTTGATTATATTTGTTCAAGATCAGCCATCAGTTTCTTCATTTGGTGTGAAAGAACAGATGGGACGCCAACTGGACGAAAATGATGATGGTAAAGAATTAGTGTGTGAAGTTGACAGCAATCCAGTTTCGTTTGTCAAAATACGTTTCTGAGACGAGGTAAAAAAAGAATCATCAGATGTAAATGGTGTCTTAGTCACATTCAGTAGCGTATCATACTTTGATACCGGTAATTACTAATGTGAGGCAAGGAACAAGATTGGACGGTCATTTAGAGAGATCATCCAATTATTTGTCAATTGTAAGTAGTATCCCATTGATCTCGGAATAACATACATGTGAAATGATTTGTTATAAAGTATGCGAACAAAACAGTTTATGGTTCTTATATTACTATATTTATTACAAATTTACTAATGTTATTATCACATCATATACCAGGTAAACCTCGACCACTGTATCGGATAAATTAGAATAAGCTTACTTCACACGCAAGTCAAACTGAGTTTCACTGCATTAGCCTACCGAATCCAGGCGCAGGAGGATTCTCTTGGCAAAAGGAAAATGGTGATAACTGGACAGACGTTTTAACCAACAGAAATGTATATATATCTTCCTAATTTGACCATCCTTAACATAACAAAGACAGATTACGGGCAGTATATACTCACTGTAAATTATAGCATAGGACCATACATTCAAGACTATAACTTAGTGGAAAAGATATCAAACAAAGGTATTGTTTCTATTATACTTTGAATATGAATGGTGTGTTGGTGAAGCGGGAGCTTACGATAACATTTTTGTTTAATCATGCCTTACTAATGTGCCGTCAGTATATTTGGACAGGCATACATTCTATCATTGATGTATATACTAATATCATCAATGATCAAGTCTAAACAATTTAATGTTTCGGTTATGTTACTTTGATATGTGCCGGTATCAGCTCAATTTTGCAGTTTTAGACAACTATATACAAAAAGTATTATATTAGTCAACATGTCTGCAGAACTGATAAATGAAGATGAATTTTACCTGCAGGATGAAGATCGATTTGTGTGATAGTTTTATCACAATGTAATGTATTAAAAGTTTATATATTCTTTGTATTTTCCTATGATTTAACAGGTTGTTTTTTTATTCTTTCAAGAATTACCCTGGCGTGACACATAAGGTGACAACAACAGCTTAATTTTAATTGTAATATCTCTTGGTGTTGTTATCGGAATATTTGCTGGGGTATTAGTTACCGTTTTGTATAGAAGGAAAACAACTAGTAAGAAATGGTGAGATTTAAATATTTATGTTATTTTTTTATTTCAGTACTTAATATAACTATAGGGACTTATTTCGTGCTTTTGTTATATATTTGCTAAATTGTACAATAACAAACATTTTAATCTTTAGAACAAAACATATTTGTCCAGCTCAACTTTATACTTTCAAATAAAACCATACAACTTCTGTTTTGCTATTTTTGATTAATTGATTATTTTCTCCTGTGTCTACAGATTCACAGTTAGACGATAAAAACAGGACATAAGAGTAAGTTATTTTAAACATCACTGCCTCGATCATTTGACGGTATTTGTATGAAAAATTACACATAACTATCAATACGCCATGTTCAATGGTTGTCCAGTAAGATTAAAAAGATACATATCGGTATCTAAGTCTTTTTCTATAAAAACAGGATTTATTTTCATTGAGTCGTATGAAAAATAAATATGTATTGAGTGGCGGTAACAACGAGTGATAATTTTCATACCAAATGATGAAAGTAAAGCTTGTACTTATAAAACAAACTCGACTTTACATTTTTCTCTTGTTTTTTGGACATTACAATTTGATTTGTTTAGAAGTCAGTAATATGGCAAGACTCCTTTAAAAATAAGGAAAATATGTTTCACTGCAGTGAATAATAATTTTTACTGTAAAAATACGGAAAATGAAAATACGCATTCTATTTTATCACTATTACTCAATATTTCATTTGTTAGTATATATTAAACAACATGTTTTGTATCAACATATGAGCGAATTTCAAGTATTGATGGGGATGTTCAATCATAGATAGGAGTAATAAACTATTAAAGTTAAGAGATGAGAGTACATATGTAGTTAGACAATAATACGTGTATAAGATGCCTAAGTTCAAAAGAAACCTTATTCATTTACTCCACATAATATCTGAGAAACAGCTAGTTACAATTGTCATTTCTTGCAGAGACCTATCTGTTTTGTGTCCAACTTTCATTGTTTACATGTCATCATAAACCCTCAAGCACTTGAAAGGGAATAGGCACCGAAACATTATTGAGGAATGGAATATCCTTTAAATTTGAAAAAAAAAAAACGCAACCCATGTGACTATCAATATTTTTTTCTCATTGAATGGTTTCGCAAATCAAGCCTATAGTCTCCTTGGATCTTGGTATTGGATCTTTATTGAACCGTTAAGGTTTCGACAATTATTTCTGCCAGATCTATATGATTGTCTTATAAATATCATATTATTTTCAAGGGAGTATTTAAAAGTTCCATTTAATGCTATTCCTACAGAAAACAAACAAATGTTACATCGAATCCACAATACAGCAACAGAAACGCCGCAAGTATCGCAAATGCTCTAACGGAGGAAAATAAACAGCATATGGATCTTTTTGAACATGCCAGAGATGATAAAAATACATATGATGAACTCAAAGCAAATGCTCCAACTGTAGAAAATAAACAGTATGTGGATCATTCTGAACATGCCAGAGATGATAAAAAATCATATGATGAACTCAAAGCAAATGCTCTTGCAACTGAGGAAAGTAAACAGTATATGGATCTTTCTGAACATGTCAAAGATGATAAAAATAAATTTGATGAACTCAAAGCACAATCGCATTAACGCTATAACCTTTGAAAAGGGCAATTGCTGAAAATGTTTCATTTAAAAGACATTAGAATTGTATCATCACCTCAGCTTAGCTCCACTAGCACCTAGAAGTGTTAAGAAATAGATGATATAAATGAACTATACGGTAAAATACGTGCATATTTTTTAACTGTTACCCCACACAGCTATACATCGGTTGTTGTTATTAATTATTTTGTCTTGATATAAAAGCTTACAAAAACATAAATTCGCTTAATATATGAAAGGTTATGCATGATCAAATTACCACAAAGTGAAGCGATATGTTTTGCAATCATTGTTTCAATAGACCAACACATGTTGTTCTGATAACGAAATTGTCGCTATCTTTTCCTTACACAACGATATTTTTAAAACTCTCGACTTTCTTATTATTTTATTATTATTATTCACAAGCTGCCATTACAGGAAATTAATTATGCGTAAGTTCATTAGGAAATTCACACTTGTATAATAACTATCTTGTACAGCAAATTTAATTATGTTGTTGCAAAATTATACAGCAAAAACAATAACAACATGGGCAGCCTTACGCCTCCACATTTTCTCCTACGCAAGTGCGATCTGTATAATGATATTCATTGTCAGTTTCCTCTGTATATATGAAATGATATCTTATCCAATATTAAAGCTCATCGCGTCTTTATACATATACACCTAGAACATTATCAGTAGTTTCCTGTATAGAAGCTAATATAACTATTCAAATAAATATTGAGGGCCGTCCGTGCCCGAGTGGTAAAGGTCGTTGACTTCAAACCACTTGTCCATCACCGTTGTGTGTTCGAATCTCGACAGGTACTTTGGATTCTTTCAGGTGTCGGTGGTGCCCGTTTGTGCCTAAAATAATGCACGGAAGGGTGTCTGAGGTCTACCTCCACAAGTAAAGCTGGAACGTCGCCATATGACCAAAACTGTGTCGGTGTTACGTGAAAAAAAACATATTTAACAATCCTGTTTAACTTTATGACAATTTGCATATCATATCATAATATTATTTGCATTATATATAAAGTAGCATTTAAAAGATAAAGCTGTGAATATTATGCTTGCTGTCAAAGCCTTTGATTTATACTCATTGCATCTGATCACTTATCTTAGAAAATGCTACGATAAAATATCTCTTATGGTATTAGAGGACTAATGCAGCATCTCTTTTCTGAACAATATTCATTTGCAGTGAGGAGACAGAGTTTCGATAGGGCATGGGTTCTGCCCCAAGAAGATGCATTTTTCTTTCAATTTTTGTCTTTTTTCATATTGATTTCTTATTTTGTCTGATTTTTATTTTCTTTATTTATATCTAAAAATTTCAAAATTCTTATCAAGTTTTATGTATTATAATTTATACTTTAAAATGTATGAAATTGGATAGCATAACAAATTAAAATGATTATAATTTAAAATAAGCATGTTAAACTTTCTTTATATCTTACATTGATGTATTGGAAATCATCAGAATTGACTTGTCGATTTAAATTTGTTCGTCCGTTCGTTCCCACGTTCGTTCGTTCGTTCATTAATTAATTAATTAATTCATTCATTCATTCGGAACAAAGAAATTAAATAAAATCAATTTCTTTATTATAATCGTAATTGTTTTTTCAATAACCATATTTTTACAAGGCTAGACCTACATCAAATATGTATCAACATTAATGACATGTTATGACTGTTTTACATTTCTTTGTACTTTTTACTAATATGTTGAAGCATTAAACAATTATGAGTAGGTGTTAATTCAAATAATAGCTAAAACAAAATTGAAAACTACAATGAGTTAAAAGATTTTACTATCTGAAGTATCATAACGCGTGACGTTATACGATGTTCATCTACAAACGCTTTAAAAGTGGATTTTAAAAGCAAACATTCTATACTTACATCCTTTAACGCTGGAGTAAAGTTATCAAATATAGGCTACGTTTGTTAATATATCAGAGATAAAATGTTTTTTGTATTGCATATAAGTTTAAATTTCTTTTTTTGGATAATTATCTGTAGTAACAAAGGTAAATAGAATTAACATTTACGTTCTTATTAAAAAATATTTTTTTAAGAGAAAACCTTTCCACAAAGTTACTCGTTAATCCTCGTTGTATAACTACTACACGTAAAGTCACAGATAGATTTGCTATATACATACCAGTCATATTAAGGAACATACGGTCAGTGTATTCCATAGTGCATAAATACAATTTCGTTAAGATAATTTCCGTCTAAAATAATTGCAGATGATATTGCAATACCTTTTTTCAAAAATTACATATGCTCAATGACGTAATTCCATGAATAGCATGAATTCTACCAACTCAAATCGTAAACGGTCAATGTCTTATAACAGAGTACGGGCTAATACATGTAATAAGTAATTTCGAGTTTACATTTCAAATGTTATCAACATTATCCGGATAATAAATTGCGGTTGATGATTTATTTTTATTAGTGTTTGGCTGTACTTCAACAACGTCTACATACAAAAGATCTGGGGACAGTGTGACCATTCAGTTTCAAGCAATAACTGTAAACTCTGAAGATCCTTCTATGCGTGTAATGAACCAGATACTGTCGGATAATGATACTCAAATATTGACCGTTTTATATAGAAATGGTGAAAATACATTATTATATAACTGTACCACGTGTACATTTACCGGTAATGTTGCTACTGGAGACCTCTCTATCAGAATTGACAACATAAAAACATCGGATAGGGGAACATATAAACATTCAGTTACCCAGACAAGACAGGAAGTAAAAGGATGTACAAAGGTCTACATCTTAGGTAAGATAAAATAGAAATTGTACAATGGTATTCACAATATTTGAACCACACGTAAAGTCTTTTGTGTGTGCTTTTTTTGTCTTATTGCTAAGTGTTACTTTGTCAACTGATTTTAAAGCAGCATGTCTCCAAAATTATGCTAATTTCCATGAAAAAATTGAAAAAATGCATTTAAAAATAAAAGATTGTGAAGTGACGAAAGAAAATAACAACAATCCACAGGAATTACCAAAGAAAAAAAGAGGTCACAGTACGGAACAATAGCCCTTACATCGTTAGTCATGCAGTAAAAAAAATGGTAATTAATTTTGCAGATACGGTCACTAATCATGCAATGCATATAAATAAGTATGTGGATTTTGAATATGATAATAATATTAACATTATTTAAGTTAGCCTATGAAATATGGTGCTATATCAGCCAAATTTATCTCATATTTGTTAAAAATAAATATGAAATAAGAATTTAAAAGTGGGCGGAGTCAAAACTCATGTTTATTTTAAGGAACTTCTTTCGCCATTTTGTTTGAAAAATCTAATAAATAAAAAACAATTTTTTTTCTAGAATGACATAAAATGGTCTGTCTAATAAAATAAATCCGAACACCAATATCGTTAGTTCAGTCATAAACGCTGTAAACACGTTTTAAGAGTGTTTACGCGATGTCACAATGTAGCACCAGACAGAGCGTGCAAAAACAGTCAATTTCATTGCCGCACACCAATCAAATCATCATAAATACTCTGTATTTTGCTTGAAAAATATAAAATGAAATAAAATAAACACGCAAAAGAATCGTTGCTTCCTGTAGACCTTTTCTCGGAAAAAACAACATCTTCTTTACTACATGCAATTTCTAAAAATTCCATAACAAATCTTAGGCTATATACGCCAAAACTTGAACGATAATATAAGTGCAGATGTCGGACGGGGTGTGTACAACGGGGTAAGAGGGAAGGGGGCAGGTATAAGAAGGTATGCCTGAATTCCCAGAAAAAATGGGTTAAAAGCTGTATTCCTCATGTGAGTAATATTTTAAGTATTATTTACATTAAAGTAAGGAGGCATTGATATTGTGTCTAGACATTTTGAGTGACTGTTAAGAAATTTTCTATCCCTTACGCATTATCTATTGATTTATTCTTATTTCAAATTTAAACGCAATTTGTCTATGATGTCTCTAAATATATAGCATGAAGCAGGTGATGTGTTGGCTCTGGAATTGAGTGTATTTGTATTTCCTATCTAAATTCCATACCCGTTGAGAATTTTCTTCAAAGTTGTCTTAAACGTCAAATAAAGCATTCAAAACATTTTGTCAAGCACTAATACTTTTTAGATAAATTTTCTCATTTATTTTTATTTATAATAAACGCTAAAATGTGATTTATACAACTACATGACTTTGTATACTAAACAGGAAGGCAATTATGACCCTTTAGCCCTGTTTACACAATTTATAAAATAGAGAAATAAAGAATCCCTAAAGAAAGCTTAACACGACAAAATTGAAAATGTTGCAGGCTCGGTTTGATTTAGCCTGTTCATGGACGGTAATGGAAAGTGCAAGTTACCGTCCACGCCCCCTAGCACCGGCTTAAGCAGAATTCAACATTTAACACGAAAATGGTGAAATTTTGAATTTAGAAACATCCGCAGATGTGTTCTAACGGCAGTTATCAAAGAACCTTCAATGTGACACAGTAGTGCCATTCCATGAAAAGCGCGTATGGTCCCTGAGTAAAAGAACGATTGTGCCCTAAACGAGAAAACAATGGGCGGAACTAAATCAAATGGAATTTTGAAAGAGGATCTGGGGTCATGAAGCCTGCATATCACAGTTATGACGTCAAAAGACAGATTTAAAAGTTGACTTACTCTTGATCCCAGGGCTTTTATTTGAACAAACTTGGTAGACACTTACCAGAAGATGTTTCATGATCAATATCTAAGCTCTAGCTTTTTGGCTATTAAGAAGAAGATTTATTAAGATTTTTCCTTTTTACAAATAAGGAAAGTCAATGATACCCGGGACGGTGCACCCTTTGACCCCATGGCTTTTATTTGAACAAACATGGTAGACACACACAAGAAATATATAAGCTCTAGCTCTTTGGGCTTTTTTTTAAAAAAATTGTTTAACTATATACATATTCGGAAAAGCAATGATTCCCTGGGGCGTACCAATTTTGACCCCAGGGCTTTTATTTGATTTAACTTGGTAGACACTTTCTACAGCATGTTTTACGCTTAATTTCTTAGCTCTAGCTATTTGTTTTTTTTAAGTTTATACTATATAGTTTATAAGGTAAATCAATGACCGCTTGGGACATTATATATAAACTTCATAGCTGTATATAAAAACACAAACAATACAGCAGAGGGATATCAGACAAACCACAATTTTGAAAGCTCATTCTGTGAAGCAAAAATATGTTAGCTTAGAACATTTACTGACCAATTTGATATGTAATCTAATTCATATTATCAGTACGCTGCATGTTAATCATCTGATTGATGCGAGATAGAAATTGATCACTTTTTTGTTCTCTTTTGGTTTCATTAATTTAGATTTTTTCCAATTAAATTTAAATTACTATGAAGTGATTTCGTTTTGAAAACGGAAATGCGTTGATTTAACACCGCTCAAACTTACAGCGCTTCCTTCATATTCTAAGTTTCAAAAGATTTCAAAATACTTTAATTTTTTATTATTTCAAAAAAGTTGACATTTTATGGTTACTTATCAATAATTGATATTGACAAATGTTTAGATCAAAATATATAAAAGCTGCATGCTTCAAGATTCATTCTGAATTTTATGAAATTTTTTAAAGTAAGATATTACCGAGAGATCATAGAAAGTAATTTATATATTACAAACCACACAAATAACCCACGTAAAATGTCCAGGTAACAATATGAAAAAAAAAAACATACTGCGTTAGTCACACAGTAGAAATACGTTGATAAACATTGCGAAAAAAATCATTTATTACATATACAGTAATATGCAAATTATTACTGGCATTGAGATTATTCTACTTTTCGTAAACTCTAAGACTATTTTTTTTTAAAACGATGTCTCCACTTTTTAATGAACATTATGAATGCATTGTATACATTATATTTCAAGAATTTTTTTTTATTTTGGGGTTTTGATTCCTGCAAAATTAATATAAAACTGAAAACAATCACGACGGAATCAGAGTTGTTTTGACTTGTAACACCACTAATACTTTGATTGTTATTAGAAACAGGATAGGTTATTGCTTTAAATTTAAAATGTATATTGATTCTAAAAAGAAGCACAGGAGGCAAAGTTCAACAACTCTTTTCTTCTACTTTTATTTACTTTAACACTGGTCTATCTGTGATACCATTTGAAAAATTACAAGCAAGCTTATCTCTAAGACACTGAGTACATGTATTTACTAACAAATTACATTAAAACCATAACAGATACATGCTTGGTTACAGGCAAGCCCAGCTTACAGAGTTTCACAATTATTAATGTAATTTCTAAAATGGTTGTACTTTGTTTTAAAAAAAGTAAGAATTGACTGTTTTGTTTCATAAGAAAGCACAATCAAAGGTTTTATTGTCGTATTCAAACCCGTTTTAATAATTGAATCATCTGGTCTTTAATTTAAATAACAATAGATTTAACCACAAACGTTGCTACAAATAGTTTATGGTCATCTTCCACTCTTACTATAAATACTCCAGTTATTTTTATTTTAATGATGTAGTCTACATCAGTGTACTTTTTATCGTTACTTTTGTTTCTAACTATAGACAAATAAAGTGGAATAAATGTTTATGGTGTAATAGAGAATCAGTATAAATCAGTCTAACTGGGTTGTTTGTTTAAAGAAAATGGCATTGACCATTGCTCTGTATTTTGTGTGCCTGTTACATATATATTATCTCACAACACTGTATTTACTTCAGTGTACCATAATTCTAACCTGAAATTGTTCCTAGTTAACTATAGTGACCGAAAAAACCGTCAGATGGGTTATTTCATATGAAAAATTTCCATATGAAGTTTAAATTAATAGAATGTAGAGTACTTAAGTATTGTCCCTTCTAACAGGTCATTATGTACTTTTAAAAAAAACATTATAACTCATATAAAAAGTTACCTTATCAAAGTATGTCAGGCACATATTTCCCTTTAATTCCATGTTTGATTTTTTGTTTGTTTGAAAGTAGATCGATCTACATATTCGTATCTGCTAATTCTACAGGTATGCTTATGATGTTACCTTATTCGAATATGCGTTACCTTTTTATGCACAATCAAAACTTCAATTATGAAGGAATGGAGTAAAATATGATATAAACAACTTCTCTGGAATTTTCTCTTTTTTCAGCTCGAGTTAAGCGTTATAATGCAAATAAAACTCGTCGAAATCCAAATAAGGATAAGAAAATTGTCCAATATATTACAATCATTTTTCAGAAGAATCAAATCAGTGAAAAGTAAACATTTATTTCATTTTTTATATCTAGATCTAAATGCTAAATAAAGATCTTGTTTGCAACTTGGCGTTTGCAGCACAATGGAAGGGAGTGAGTTATCTGTATGGAATGTCTTTTTATATTTTACCTTGTAACTATAAATCAGTATATTATTTTTTAAGTTAGTAATATTCATTCAACTTATATTCATTTCAAATTATGTAGAATAGTTTTGACACTGTGAATCAGATATTTGAAGTGAACTATTCCCAACATCCATATATATATAACTTAAATATTTCGAATGGAAATTGAAAGACTAGAGTTGAGAACAAAAATGTTAAAGACAATATTAATTGTCTACAACATTGACATAAAACCCATTAAAAATATTTTAAGGAAGGTGAAGATTGTGCGATAAGTACTACATTTTAGCTGTGAATACGATAACTTCGTTACACTGTTGTGTTTGTATTAAAGTCATACAGGTCATTTTACAGCATATTTTCCTTGATTATATCATATTTAACTTATGGTGAAACAAAAGAAAAATAACAAGGAAAAACTAAACTTATTACAAAAGGATATAAAACCCATCTTTTTTACAAGAGAGATACCTGGCTATGTTTTGTTTTTCTAAAAGCAAATAACTTTTTGAACTATTTAAAACAGTGTACACGTTAGACTTTGTGCTATTTCTTTTACATTCAATATACATGTATGTACTTGATGTTACTTTCTTAACTATAGATAACGTCAATAGTAGTACAATTAGCTTAAATATCCCCTAAATCCTTAGTTAAAGCACATAGCTATATTTGATATATAGGTCTCTGGCGATCTTGCGGACAAAAACGGCACTCGGCGTACACTCATAATAAACCGAGGTACGCCCCTGATACGGAAAAAAATATTGTTTATGAGAATATTACTTGATTTGCAAATTATATTGTGTGTTTAATATCAGATTGTTGCAGCCGGAAAATTACCTTATTGGCCGGAATGTTCCTGGTATATCTTGAAAATCTTTTACTATGTACAATGAAATGGGAATGAGATTGGATAAACATCTGAAAACAAAGTGATCACTCGGAAGCATTGATCACAACAAAGTCACATGAAAATTGCAGACTCGTTTTGATTGAGTCTGTACATGAGGGATTATAAATAACTGCAACATCCCTCACGCCCGCTAGCACAGGCTTAAGCGGTACTCAATTCTCAACACCTAAAAGTGCTGGAGTCAATGATCCCGAAGAACCAGAAAAATATAACACTTAAGTGAAGTATGGGCAACCTTTTACAGCTGCCACACGGCACTTGACACCTGGAAGCAATAATCACAACAAAATTACATAAGAGTTGCATGCTAGGTTTGATTGAGTCTTTACATTAGGGATAATGAATAAGTGCAACATCCCTCACGCCCCCTAGCACCACCTTGAGCGGTATTTAATTCTTAACACTTAATAGTGCTGGCATCAATGATTTCGAAGGACCAGAAAACCCTCAGTTGAGATTAAATGTTAAACATTTGTTTAAAAGTACTTTCACTTAAAAGGCCAATGACGCTAATATAGGTATTTCAATTTAAATCTGTAATTCTAAATTTACATGACTAGGCAGGAACTTCTAGTTTTACTGGTAGATATCAGGTGCCCCTCTACATTATTTCAAGCATAGACCTTAGAAGAACCACGATGTTTTATTAGCTAGTCGAATTGCCTTTTCAAAAATATATATTATGATCTGAATAAGGAACTGAAGCGTACAAACAATAAAATATGATAAACAAGATCAACATGGAAAGGCGGTGTCAAATGAGCAACCCCATCCAATTCCTCATCGCAAGGTGTGCGACGAGGCATCGAACAGGGAAAACTAGAAATTCAGAATTGTTTTAAGTAGCGTTTATGTGAATTGTCATTACTAAGAATTTGTATATCCAATCAGAAACTTGTATAATTAAGATAATATATAATGTGGTCTGCCTAAGAAGTATTCTGTCATACATATATATCTTGGTCTGCCTAAGATGTATTGAGTCATGAATAGAAATCGTGGACTGCCTAAGGTTTATTTTGTCATAAAAATATATATCGTTGTATGCCGTCATTATGAAAAACTTAGGCAGACCTTAAACAAATATATATTTCTTAACATGACATCAAAATAAACAGACAATCCACACAAACACGAACATTCAGTAATTAATTTTTATTTAATACGTTTCGGCTATAAGCCTTCATCAGTGCAAAACATAATAAAATTACCGGAAGCAACGTCATAACGAACACGCGTTAAACGCGCGAAAAACGTTAAGGCGTTTAGCGCCAAAAATATGATAGCATGCAGAAACAAATATTTTTGTAATAAATAAAGCTGGTACATGAATTAAAATGGATCATTAGTGATACATATGTCTATTAGACAGTGTTAATAAAATAAGATAATAGCAAACATATTAATATACATATAACACATTATAAATCAAACAATACTTTTACTATTATTTAGTCCTTTTGGAATCATAATATTTAATTTATGGATCCAAAAAGATTTTTACATACCGGTCTATGTTGTTATCTATAATTTGAAAATTGAAAAATCTGACAATGAACACTTATTATCGTTTGATCCGAAATGGATCGCAACATGTGAAACTGGATTTACGTCACAATTTCTTATATCAAATCTATGTTTATTCATTCTGCATGATACATTTTGATTATTTTGACCTACGTATTGCTTTTTACAGCCTTTACATGTAATTAGGTAAATTACATAACGCGTAGTACAGTTAACATCATTGTGTAAATCAAAAGAACGACCTGTTATGCTGATATTAAATTGTGAACGAACAATTATATTGTTACAATGTTAACATCTACTTCGTAAACATTGGCTAGTTAAAAATGTGCGATCAAGTAAAGCACTTCTCATAAGATAATCTCGAATGTTTTAGGACGTCTATATATATAGCATATAGACGTCCTAAAAACATTCGAGATTATCACATGAGAAGTGCTTTACTTGATCGCACATTATATATATATTTCACTCAAACGAAAAAAATATCCTCTTACTACTAATCAGATATTACTACCATATGTATTAAAATCACTTGTATGTGTATCATGACGTTGCAATAAGGGAGTATATACATCTAAAAACATTTTTAATAAATAAATAAAATAAGTTAATTAACTTTTCAGCTTTTTATTAACATTTATGTTTTATGCTGCATTAACAGGTGTGCCTACTAAACCAGTTGTTAAACTGGCTAAAATACCAATAGAAGGCGAGAGTGCAGTATTAATATGCAATAGTACATCGACAACAATACCTAATGACCCTAACCTCAGGATGACCTTCAACTGGAAAGTAAACAACAGCGATGCAAATGACCAAAGTTATACTTATTCTAGCAGTAAACATATACTGTCGATATCCAATATTGACAGGAAAGATATTAACCTACAATTTACGTGTACAGCAACAGAAGATGTCAGTAATGCATATACATCGGTCAGCAGTGACATTTTTAGGATGAATGTTTATTGTAAGTATGATTAGCAATGTAATGCAGTATAGAAATTTTTCAATGGCTGGGTGTCTTTGTTCTGTATTTTGAAAGAGCTGAAGAGGTGGGATGACATAAATTGCTTATCTGATACTGCAATTCTAAGATCTTCTATTCATTTTGGTCATATAATGTATTTATTTTATTTCTACTGATAAGACCTAGGCCTACTTGTTTAGATCATCCTATCAAAGCTTTTGTTTAAGCCTTATGCTACTCTTTATGCATTTTAAATTAAAACAACAACTACATTGTATGATCAATTCTTCAAAATATCTGATAATACTTTAAATAGAATTTGAGAATCAGTCATCCATGATTTCAGTAACTCGTTTTCATGTAAAGAAGTAAAAGATCCTATAGACTACACGTGTAAATTTAAAAGGACATCAAATAAAAAACAATAAAAATATAAAGTATACTATACCTATCAATCAAATTTTCAGTGTCAGTTCTAATTTGGGCGCCACCGTATAATTAAATACCGTCAGCTTGTGTAAAACTGTGTGAAACAGTTTTTGCTTCTATTTTATCTTATTTCTTTGATGTATTACCATAGAAAAGATCAAACTATTTAAGCATGACAATTAAATCTGTATCTAAGAACGTTATGTAGATAGAATATTTGACCTTTTATAACCAAATTCTTAGTTTTATCGACATGTCTTTTGTGGAAGATAATTTGTATTATTGACAAGCTAATTGGAATATTCCATAAACACTTAAAATTGTCATATGAAATTAAAGTTAATTACAAAATATGTATGTTCATGTATACAATTTTGAAAAAAGGGTGCTTTGAATATATATACACACTTTTTGAAAAGAAGAGGTCCTTCCGAGAAGCATTGAAAACAAATATGAAAATTGTAGACTCGGCTTGTTTTGTTTTATAAACCAAGAGATATGTTGTTTACTCCGTATGCATGCCGGTATTGAAAGTACTGACTATGTTATATAATTGTCATTTGAATCATGTTTCTGAGTATTTCAAATGAGTAAATGATTTGAGGGTCTATATGAAATGATGCATCCGCGTTTTCTTTTCAATAATCATAATATTAAGTACTTATTCAAATAATCAAGCTCTGTTGGTAGCTTTCACTATGTCTATCCTCCATCATTGAATCCAAACTTTTAAATTACATGCTTATATCAATGTATATGTAGTAAACCTAAACAATAAAATATTTTTCTTTGGTACAAACATTTTTTTTACTAAACACATGATTTGCAGATTACATTATTGAAACAAGCGATATTGTCTTTTTTCATGCTACATTTTTCAGATCCAACATCAGTTTCTTCATTTGATGTGAAGGGACATAAAGGGACGTCAAATGTGATTCTGGACGAAAACGATGAAGGCTTGCAGTTATTATGTAAAGTTGACAGCAATCCAGCTTCGTCTGCACAAATTCTATTTAAAGACGAAGTTAAAAATGAATCATCAGATTTTAATTATGTCTCGTTCACATTCAGTAGTGTATCATGCCTTGATAGCGGCGACTATACGTGTGAAGGAAGCAACAAGATTGCACAGTCATTCTAGAACGAACATACAGTTACTTGTTAATTGTAAGTAAAATATCATATGCCTTAGAAAAATACAGCATCTACTTTGTCAAGAATGCTAGCACAGTCCACCCTTTATGTCTCAAATTAGTATGCGGCTTTTGGTTTGCGAATTATCCCCAGCTGGAATGCAGAGTGAATTTAATGTTAGGAAGCTTTTCAGCTAGCTTACGGATCATTGGTGGTTGCTCACAGGCATAAGGCTCATTTTCTGATCAAAACTTTTGCTGAAAAATTGTAATATGACTATAACAGTGTGATGTTTGTTTGTTTGTTTGATTGATTTTACGCCTTTTCCCAACAGTATTTCAGTCATATAGTGATGTAAAACCAAACATACACAAAAGCAAAAACAAAAAAGTTTAAGTTCTGTGTTACAGGTGCACCGCGTCCACTGTTTCGGATAGATCAGAATATTTCAAGCATATTACACGTGCAGGCCATGTTGAGTTTTACTACTTTAGCCTATCCATATCCAGGATTGAAAGGATTCTCTTGGCAGAAGGAAAATGACGCAAACTGGGCCCAAGTTTTGACTAATAGGGATTTTTTGATAACATCAACAGCGTTACAGTCTAATTTGACTATCCTTAACATAACAAAGACTGATTTCGGACGGTATAGACTCATTGTGAATAACAGTATAGGAACCTTCATTCAACACTTCAACTTAGCTGAAACGATATTGGACGAAGGTAGGGTTCAATTTATATTACGTTTATTGTTGGTGCGCTAAGGTTTGAGATATGATGATGTTTTGCGGAGGTTGGCTTACGTACGAATCCCTTATAAGTGTATCTTGATATCAAATTTTAAGTCATCGAACGTTTTGTTTCCCTGCAGCATAAAGTAAGATAATTGCATGAGGTTCTAGTTTATAAATGGATAAGAAAATTTGAAACATAGTATGATGAATCTATCCGCATCTTTGCAAAATAGATTGGTTTACATTGGCCTTTCTAGGTTTATTATCATATGGTAATGCGTACCGATTATAGATTATGATTTATCTTTGTTCTGTTCCTGTATAACATAACACAATTTTCTTTTTCATTTTCCAGGAGAAGGATTTTGGGATACTTATAAAAGCACAATCATAACAGGAGTTTCTCTTGGAATAGTAATTGCAATACTCGTTGGTGTACTGGTCACCATTCTTTATAGAAGGAAAATAAACAGAAAAGGTAATATGAACAAAATAACTTAAATGTTCAAAGCATTAAAACCAAAACTGTGTTAATTTCTATTTCAAATTACTGCAACTGTTGTGTTAACAACAAGCGTTATTTGGCGAACTTGACATTTTACAAGTTTGCAGTGATTATCAGTTTTGCTGTTAGAAAAGTGATAACAAATTAACGATGTTAAAGTTCATACTCAGATTTTTATATTTGAGAAACATTTAATGAAATTGTAAAATAATAGATTTGTTGACATCATTGTCTGTGTGTTGACATTCATCAAATTGAATGAAAACTTCAATTTATCATGTTGTAGTTCATTTTTCAGGGTCGCAGGCACACAAAAATAAAAGGCAAAAGTAAGTACTTTCGATACAAAGACAGTCACCTTTACGTAGATTTAATGTTTATGTAAAATTTTGGAATACACTATCAGCTTAAGACACGAAATATATATAGTAATACATCAACCTAGCATTGATCGTTTAACATTTACAATTTATGGATAGATTACGTATATAAATATTTTTCTCTTTTTTAGAGAGAATGCTACAGTCGCCAAAAAATATGACAAACAAGATCAACAAGGAAATGCGGCGTACAATGAACGCAACCCCCGTATGACCCAGCGACAACAAGACACTTGTACCCACAGCGTCGCCTATGGTTCAGCCGAGGCAAGCGAATATAAGAAGAAATGAACTGAATGAAATACTGTATGTGTTTGCACGTAAAACACTGAAATGATATTATATATTTTAGGTGTGTACTACAGTGTCTTTATCTTAAGAAATAAAACTTTTATTTATTATAACATATATAATTCAAGTTAAAATCACCTTGTAATTGTCTAATTTTTTTGTTTCGTATCCTAAATATCTCAATAAAAGTGATTCCTCGGAAGCATTTAAACAGCAAAATTACATGAAATTTGCAGACTCGGTTTAATTGAGTCTGTACACAAAAGATAGTAAAACAGTGCAGCAATTAATCCTTCATTATGCCTACATAATAATTTAAAATTGATGTAGAAAATCCTATATGTTCTTTTTATTTATATGTACATTGTATTTGTATTTTTGCAATAAGTGACGTAAGAAAGTTCTTAAGACCTTGATAGTCATGTATATAACCTTTGATTTATGTTCATTTGTACGTCCGATTTCGCTAGAATTATCTCTTTGATGTTCCGTTATGATTATTGTAGCTGTTGTTATTAAGATATTAGTTTATTTATAGTTTCTATAAATAATATTACTTTTATTCGGATGAATGAATGAATGCGAATATCTTACCTTTACATATATGAGTATTTCATATTTTTTTGTTTGTACAAAAAGTTTTCAAATTTTGTATAGACATACAAGTATTATCTTTATAATTGTTTTTCTTTTTCGTTGTTATTTTTAAATCAGAAGGCTGTAAATGAAATAAATATCAATGATCTCTTTCTGTGAAAGCTTAGTTTGTTACCTTCTCTAAAAAAAGACTTTATCATAAGCGTTATATTTTCAGAGAAACTACGTTGAGAAGTTCAAAATTTGTGGTACACGTATTCTGTCTTTAGAATTTCGAAATCCAATGTATTGGATATGTTACCGACAAAAAACATTTACTATACGAATATTGCAAATTTAAAAATTTCTCTCGAACTAGAAATGTATATTTATCAATATTCCTTCAATATAATAACATATAAGTAGCCTTTTTCTGACATTTTTGTACAGATTTGTTTCATAACACAATTAATCTTTTAGCCTTTTCGCTGAACATTTTCATTGTTCTTATAGTTAAATATTTTAGTATGTTTTAAAATTCTTTGTTTCTCCATTTTAACCTTAACGTTTATGACTGACCTTGCTATAATATGACTGTCGACATTGCAGCTCGTTCAATTCTTTGTTTAATCTCATAGGAGTATATAGGATATCGTTTTTAGTAATTTTCTCACATAATTATAATCACGTCAAGGTAATTGTGCGGAAACGTGATTAATTAATGTAGACAAATGACTGCGAAGAAAAGATTTTATTACAAAACATTTTCCAGTGAATAAACAATAAATAAAGCCCCTTTACCCAAATGACAAACTCTGCATGTCTGGCGGCGATGTGGACAAAGTGTTCAATCAGCGAGAGATATCTGTTACCGACACGAAATGGATAGTTTGATGTAATTGATAACATAACCATAATTAAGTTAACCAACCCTTAAAAAGGCAGTAATAAAAACTAAAAATGGTTGTCCTGTACATCAAGAATAATCGTATAGCGTCAGCTCAATTAAGGTTGGATGAAAATTAAGAAAAACGTTAACTTTGTTGGGTTTTTCTTTTCCGGTGGTTAAAGAATCATGCACTTTTTCTGCAATTACTATCAAGAATATTATATCTCAAATAAAATGGCCAGTAAAATATACTATTGTATGTTGAAGGCAATTAAACACTGTCCCAGTTCATGTTTGGTGGGGTGCCATTTTGTTCACTTTTTTTTTTACTAAAGTTTCAGTTCATATAAATTTGATCCAAATGTCATGTGAAGTTGGAATTAATTTCCATACTTTTGACACCTGTTGTATGTTTTGTTTTATTGACTAGCATATTATCGAGAATGTTATATCTCAAATGAGATATCTTGATCACAATCAAATTGTAACTATAGCCACTTTCAAATAATCACCTCAATTACAACAGTCTGCAACTCTAACTGCATACACTTTAACACCATGATGAACATCTACTGAAGATACGTTTGGTTTGAGTAATAAATAACTTTTGACATTGAAGTCTGGAGTTCAAATGCCAGTTACGACAACTCATGTTTTTCTTATTTATTTTATTTAATTGTATGAGCCAAATAAACATTGAACTGAATATCAGTGTTGAAATCAGCCTTATAGCCAATTTGCTACATTTATAACACAGAAAACAGCACATTGGTGTTACTATACAAAAACAAATTGATTTACAAACTTCACCTTTCTGACATTCCTTGACCTAAACAAATTCAGTGCCTTCTGTGCTTTTATTACCCTATCTTACTACTACCAGTACGTTTACACTTGAACCCTTATTGTTCTGGAATTTCATTCATTAAACACATTATCGGGGGATAATTGGGAAATATGTTACCTGTAATCGTTGGAGGTCTATACAACAAGTATTAAGAGATAGAACATGTCGTCTCCTGAAAATCTAGTATTTAGTTGACTGTATGAATTCAAGAAAAAGTAGCCTTCACACTTGTACATCTTAGTTTTAATTAGTGTTGTACTGCAGAATCTTACCCATATAACTGTAAATTGGCTCTTACAACTCGATATCAGAAAAAATAGAGAAAGTGTGACCTTTTTAATTAAATATAACATTGTTTCCCCCCAGCAATCACGTACAAACAGGGATGGGGTCCAATTACTTAATCTGACATGTAAAACAGTTTTTCGAGTGAAAACATCAAAGACAATATTTAGGACTGTTAATGTAATTTATTCCTGTCATATGAAACAAAATAATGTTTTGCTTACTTTTTCTAGAAGTATAAACAGTCATCAATTTATGCAATTTATAATTTACATTTAGAGTCAAAAGGATATTAATAAGTTACTGTGTAATCATCTGTCTCTGTGAGTTCTACGTGTATTAGCTATGTAATAAATTTGAATGTATCCTCAAATTGCTACAGTGTTATCAGGCTTTTTAGAAACACCTGACCTGGCTTATTGAAACCTGCCAATAAAAATTATCACTATCAGCACTGGTCTCTTCACGAAAAAAGCGGCTACACTAATTACTGCCGAGCCGATTTGAAAGTATTTATTTCTAATGAAGGAATTTTTTTTTCATTTTGGTATTATACCGTCTCGTGTGGATAAGCTGCATTTGCAATTTTCACACATTTAAAAAAGTGTTCTCAAGAACCATAAAATGTAGAACAATGTACTTGGTATTAATATTTAAAGACATTTACCGTGCATTTACTAGGTCAGGTCTAGTTCTGATTTAAGAAACGTTTCTCACCTAAATTTATGAAAATGATGAATATACCGACGCTCAAAAGTCGCCATTACTCGTTTGTATTAGTATGCAATGTCACGTGATTCCCCTGTGTACACATTTATTTCCTTTTTTTATTCACATTTATATGCAGTCAGTGTATTATTTCTAAGTTAGTAACATTCATTCATCTTATATTCATTCTAATTGTGCAGATTAATTCGGGCCCTTTGCAACGAGCCATTGCCAACATCTGTCGTCATATACCATACTCAACTTATGTTTTATTTACCGTAAAAATATACCACTATAAAAAGTTATTTCTATTGTCTTAATTTATTGACTATAGAAATAAATTGCAACCTTCCGCAAACAATTACATATATTCTTTATAATGTAAAGTAGTCTCATCTATACATCTAAAGCATAGAAAAATATACACTGAGAACAATGTATACCCATATAAGAGATAGTCCCGACTTTTTTATTTTCGCGAGTCATATTATACCAACATGCTTTATTGTGCGTTAGGCATCTAACTATGTACTGAACTAACTTTAACATTTCGACTAAAAATGTTATAAAAGAGTTTGGGGAAAACTGTTAAACATAAAATTATTGTCTGTAACATTCACATAATGTGCATTTAGAAATATTTTTAAAGGACATAAAAGATCACCCGATCCTACATTTTAGATGTGAACTCGATAAGTTATTGTTACATTAAAACATTTAAGCAGTTGAGTTTCTATAATCGTCATACAGATCATTTTAAATAACATTTTCCCTGATCATATCTCATGTTTAGTTGGTGAAACAAAAGAAAAATAACAAGGAAAAAATACTTCTTAGAAAAGGAAATAAAAGCCATCTTGATAACAATAGGGACACCTGGTTATTTCTGATTTTATGCTTTCAGTTCAACTACGAGTGATATATATATATATCCCCTTAATCCATGGTAATAGCACAGAGCTATATTTGAAGTAAGTCTCGGTCTGAACTCGGCGTATACTCAAAATAAGCAGGGTTACGACCTGGCATTGCGTTAAATAATATAGTGTAAATGCAATTTAAACTACTGTTATGTCTTTATATATCAAGTGTTCATAGCAAAAAAAGAAAAAAAAGGAATTTATAGGAAAATTACGGCTATGGCACGAATGTAGGGAAAATACACTGAATGCCTCTCAATTTTGGAAAAGTATTTTTTTCCACAAAAAAAGCTGTAAACATTCACTGTTATATCACATTAACAATGTAGATCTTGCATCTTACATACAAAATAATACAATATACGCAAGACATAAAGTAGCATACACAAAACAGGTTAAATGATAAATCCTGTTTGGGGTTATTTTTATAAAATAATGTAAATCACTTTATATTCGCGTCAGATTATTTCGCCTATTCATGAATTCGCGATGGCATGGTCAGAAATTTATATTCGCAATGTTTGAATTTTATTTCCGCAATATAACAGGGTGAGTTTAATTTAATTTCCATACCGTGCCGCACATATTGACGGTAAATGTTATTGGTGTTATCAATATACGGTTTTTATTTATTTATATTTTATACAGACTTTACCCACATACCTGTAATTGACTTACTATTAACGGTTTTTCTAATCATTTGTAAAATTTGGTTTTTGTTGCAAATATCGTATTTGATAAGACGTTAAATGATTGTAAGAAGGTGTAATATATTTGTTCATGATACTTAATTTACCGTAGTTGATCACAGTTTCACCGTAAATCTATTATTATCTAAACAATATGTGTTCACATTTGACTGTAAAGTGCAACATTTGTAGATATTGTCGGAAAATAATAGCTTTTGTGTTTGATATGCATGTATTCATGAGAAAGAAAAGAAATGGGGAAAATCTGTTGTTCAACCTTCATATCTTTATTATGATGTAATTAAAACATTCCAAATATTTTTTTTTATTTTGTAATCAGTTATTGTATTCATTATCAAACTTAATAACAATTCGAAGAAAATTGTAATCAGATTAATTTTTTATAATGTATGTTATGTTATAAAATTTATGCGGCATCATGAATTCGCGACAGAGCAGATTCACGAATGATAGCGAAAATTAAAACATCGCAAATAATACCGGATTTTGTGATAAGAAGTGGCTGAGAAAACTGTTATGAAAATTTCCTACCATTGACCATTAATGTCGAAAATTTAACTAAGTGGGTAAACAGGAAGTGGATGAGCGACAGACCTGACTCGAATCCCACAGTATGGGATCATGTCTCAATGTTGTTTGCAAAATATCAAAAGGCTGTGATAAGTAGTTGCTGAGAAAACTGTTATAAAAATTTCCTACCAATGACCATTAATGTCGAAAATTTAACTAAGTCGATAAACAGGAAGTGGATGAGTGACAGACCTGAAATCGAATCCCACAATGCTGTATGCCAAATATCAAGAGGTTGTTATTAGTACTTGTCGAGAAAACTGTTGCGAAAATTTCCTACCATTGACCATTAATGTTGAAAAATTCAACTAAGTGGGTAAACAGGAAGTGGATGAGCTGCAGACAGACCTGAAATCAAACCCCACGGTATGGGACCATGTGTCAATGCTGTATGCTAAATATCAAGAGGCTGTGATTAGTAGTTAATGAGAAAACTGTTACGAAATTTCCTACCATTGACTATTAATGTTGAAAATTTAACTAAGTGATTTAACAGGAAGTTGATGAGCTGCAGACCTGAAATCGAATCCCACGGTATGGGACCATGTATAAATGCTGTATGCCAAATATCAAGAGGCTGTGATGAGTAGTTACTGAGAAAACTGTTACGAAAATATTTTCACCGCCCGACCACTCGCCCTCCGCCCGACATTCACCATACTATAACCCGGGTTTGCACCAGTGCAACCCGGCCATAAATGTACTTCTATCAACAATTTTTATGAATGTTTTAGAATAATTATGCTTTGGAGTTTTGTTCGCATTTTATACTACATGTACAATAACAATTTTTGACCTTGATTGAAGTTGATTGATCTAATTATTTTAATTTCCATAATAACTTTTCGTCAAATCATTGTTTTGTGCAGATGAAGATACATATATTCATTTATTATTATTTTTGAATTTTCATTTTGTGATTAATAAGATCAAACTGTATGTAAATGCTGCATTCGTTGTATCTTTCAACATAATTGAGTAAAAAATCAGTCTTCTTCCCATCAATATAATGAAAAGTTAAGAATCTTATTAAGATTTAAAATCAGGGAACATATTTCAAGCGGAACCTTGCAGCCAATTATTCTACAAATTGTGTATTTTTCTTTTATACACGATTGATACGATGAAATTCTAGGCCATTGATATACTCTTCACTATGAAGATAAAAGTCTCAACTCAAAGGTCAGACTACTTTATAGATTTTTCCATTGACAAATATTATGAAAAATGGTCCAAAGACCTTGAATATTCATATACACAAAAAGTCATCTTGTACCATACGGGTACTCTTCCCCCACATATTCTGTTGATCACATGACTGACACAGACCTCTAACAATGCAAGTATCAAAGTGACAAAGTATTCTAGAGGCTTATGATAATTCTATATTGAAAGGAATACAATGTAGACTTGGTTCTGATAGATATTAGAAAAACTCAATCATTCTATTTTCATCTTATCAACCGATAAATCTTACGATTTTCACTGCATTTTTTTCAGTCAATAGATGACTACCATACCTGCACTTAAACGAACATTATTAGAAATGAGAAATATATACACAGACATTTTAAGAATAAACATTTAAATTAGTAACATATATAAAATATCATCTGTTAAGAGTGCTGTTTGATTTACCAGGACATAAGTCCTAAATCAATATAGATTGTATTCTATATATATCTGATGTGTTTTCACTTAAACACGACGTGATTATTATACAAAAACTATTTCTTGATATACAGTCGGTCGACTGTAAATTTAGTAGACTTATAGAGAATTTGGTTTAGAACTTTCACTAGACTTCCATAAAATTTAATGTATACCTGCTATATGTTAATGTAAACCTGCGAATGCTTACACGTCATATGACGTCATATATGACGTCAATTAGCCAAATGACATCAGGAAAAATGTAGTACGCTCAATGTAGTTCAACATGGTTTTTATCATCTTATAGCAATGTAAATAGATATTGATGTTTCTTGCATTACAGTATACTAATACACGGTGAATCGTTCAGATGCTTTAAAATCAATCACCTATCGGCGTTCATGATTATATTCCTACGTATTTAAACCCAATCCATGCTTTTTTCTAGTAAAGTAATGCGCTCAAAACTGACATCTTTTTCCGTAATGATATTATTTTTAATGCATTATGATAATCTAATCCTTGACGCTCATATTTAAATTAATATTTGTCACATATGCTTTCTATCAAATTTTCTTTACGACTGATGTGTTCTATTCAGTACTCTAACACGAAATACACTCAAAAAGCTTAATGTTATATGCAACTTTCAACCCAATCAATCAATCAATCAATCAATCAATCAGTCAGTCAGTCAGTCAGTCAGTCGTTGGCTTGTTCGTTCGTCCACGCACGGAACAAACGCGGAAATAAAGAATTTTTCATTTCAGTGTTCTCAAATTTCTATTCGTAAAATTATTTTTTAATAACCTTATTTTTACACAGCTCGATCTTTATCACTTATTTATAAAGCGTCCCTTTTACATTTCAACTGATTAATAATAAGTATGTTACAACTTTTAACGTATATGAATAAGTGTTATTCTTAAAAGAGATAGCTTTCACAAAGTTGACTTCTCAATAAAATAAGTGTTTACTATCTGATGATTTACAACCCGTGCGGTTTTAAGATGTTTATCGGTTTTCGCTTTAAAAATGTGCATTTAAATATACATGTATTTACTTCCTTTTACGATGGTGTTAAGTTTCAAGTAGGCTAAATACTTTAATAAATGATTTATAAAATGTGTTTTGTGTTGAATATAAGTTTATATTTCTTATATTGGATAATTATTTACTGCAATAGTAATCAAGGTAAATAATATGAACATTTACACTGTTATTAAAAATGCATTTAGTTATAACGAGAAAACTTTTCACAAGGTTAACCGTCTATCATCGTTGTATAATTATATTGTAATTATAACAAAATAACCTATGATTTGTACACAACAGTCACATTCAGCGATAAAGGTCAGCATTTCCAAAGAGCATTGATTTAAATAATTGATGCTTAAAATAACTTCTGACAATTTTGCGATACAATCTTTTTATACGTATCATTTTTTGTGGTTAAAGTACTAATATTTATTTTACATATTAAATATATGTAATTAAAGTGACCCGAATAATTTATTGTGGTTTAATATTGATTTATTTTAGTGTTTGGCTGTACTTCAACAACTTCTACATATAAAAGATCTGGGGATGATGTGACCATTCAGTTTCAAGCAATAACCGCACACTCTGAAGCCCCTTCACTGAGTGTTACAAACCAAATATTGTCGGATAATGACCTCCCATTATTGTCAGCTTTATATAAAAATGGTGTAAATACATTTATATCTAGCTGTAACAACTGTACATTTACCGGTAATGCTTCTACTGGAGATCTTACTATCAGAATTGACAACTTAAAAGCATCAAATAGAGGAACATACAAACTTTCAGTTACTCAAACAAGCCGGGAAGTAATGGGATGTGTAATTGTCTATATCTTAGGTAAGATAAAATAGAAATCGTGCAAAGATATTAACCATCGCTCGTAGATTATGATTTGTCATATTGCTTAGTGTTACTTTTTAAACTGAAACATGCCTTTTGCTGATTTTCATGAAAAATTTAGAAAATGCATCTAAAAGTAAAAATATTATGAAATGGACAAAAAAAGTAATTGTAACGGCACTTACAAGCCACGTGAATTGCCAAAAAAAAAGATGTCAAAATATGCAAAAAATAGTCCTGACAGCGTTAGTCACACAGTAGAAATGATTAATGCTACAAACACAGTCATCTATTGTACTACATATGTACATTGTTACGTGGACCTTGAATCATTTTACTTTTTCAAAAATCTTTATACATTTTTTTCTCAAATTTTCTTTAAATATTTTGGCTTATCTGGAAGCATACAACTTTAAGCTTAACAAATAATGAAGGTTGATACAAACTATAAAACATTTGCCTCATATGATAATAATATCAAAACCTATATATCAGTCAAAATGTACCATATGGATTTACACATTCTTTTTAAACTTTTACTAGTATCATGAAAGTACAATAAGGGAGTGTATACATCTTAAGAAAACACGCACTTCAACAAGTACAATAAAATAGAAAAAAAATTAATAAAGTGCCCAATTATAAACATATTTCTTTCAGAAAAAGAAATTATTTTAGTGAATTTAAGTAATAGAAAGAGCATCGAAACACGAGGCTATCTGATTTGTACGAGGAAACGTAGCCCCCGAGTATATATCAGATTGCCGAGTGTTTCGATGTTCTTTCTCTTTTGTATCATAGTCAAACATAAAAACACGTTCCCTGATACCACAATATGAAACCCCACAAAAAGGTAACCAATGATCGAGCATCTGAATATGATATTTCCATCGCTATCCCTTTCTCTGTCGTCACAATATGTAAACCCCGGACAAAATGAACCAATCAATATGCATGATCTGAAGTGCGGGTAACTAATACCTGCACTCCAGTTAACGCACTGTGCATGTATATGTTTACTATTTAACTCTGTCACATTTTCAACAGAAAGGTCCCAAAACTATGATACAAGCATTATATACTGTAATATTCACAAACTAGGTAAATATATTTGACTAGAGTATGTAACAATATTGACACATTAACTCCTAATCCAACTTTATATTGATAATTGAAAAAATAGAGCAACTTTTTCTCATCGAATTAGTAAAATCAATATGTCAGCAAATCACGCATATATATCAGCTTTGTAACATTATGCATTATGCTGCAGGTGTACCTACAAAACCAGTAATTAGACTGGATAAAATACCATTAGAGGGCGAGAGTGCAGTACTAACATGCAATAGTGCATCGGCAACTACACCTAATGACCCTAACCTCAGGATGACTTATAACTGGAAAGTAAACAACAGCGATGCAAATGACCAAAGATATACTTATTCTAGCAGTAAAAATAAACTTACGATATCTAACATTGACAGGAAAGATGTTAACCTACAATTTACGTGTACAGCAACAGAAGATATCAGTAATGCATATACATCGGTCAGCAGTGACCTTTTGAAAATGAATGTTTATTGTAAGTATTATTAGCAATGTATAGAAAAAAATAGTTGCTTGATGTCTTTCTTCTAAATTTTGAAAGGAAAACAAATCGTTCTTTTTGTGGGTGTGCAGGGGTAGGATGGCATAATATTGTATGTCTTCTAATGCAATACTAAGATCTTTCAAAATTCTTAGTTTTACCGACATGTCTTATGTCAAATATAATTTGTATTATTGACAAGCTAATTGGAATGTTCCATAAATATTAAAAGAAAATTGTTTAATACAATTTAAGTTACCTACAAAATATGCATGTACATGTATATAATTCTGGAAAAAGGGTGCTGTTAAGACTATAAACAATTTTTGAAAAGGAGAGATATTTCCGAGAAGCATTGAAAACAATAAAAATATGAAAATTGTAGACTCGGCTCCACCAAGTCTTTTTAAATGGTAGCAAGCAAAACCTGCCACGCACTCGGTTATCGATACAATTAAAAGTTTATGAGCTAGACCCGTCTGAATGTGCAGTTGTTTTAAAAGGAATAGGAGTATTGACAATATCAAAATTATGTGAAAACTGCAGATTCGACTCCACCGAGTCTGACCATGATCTACATCTTTTACATGGAAATGCTTGCTTTGATTTCAGATGCTCCATTTGTAAAACCCTTCAAAGTTGGGCCGAAAGTTGAAGGATCTACTTTATCAGTTGAATGTATAGTTGATCCTGGTAATCCAATTTTAACTACATATCTATGGAAAAGAAAATTAAATAGTTCGCTTGAGAACTCATGGTATGATATTTCTGATTCTTCAACAATTGGAAATCAGCTCGTTAAGCAAAATATTTCAAAAAATGATGCTGGACTCTACAATTGTACTGCATCAAATAATATTACACAAACAAGTAACCAACAAAAGACAGGATCAAGCTCTGAAACGTTTCTCCTCGATGTTTTATGTAAGAATTACTTGTTTTTGTTTGTACGTTATTTACTCAGTATGCATGCCGGTAATAAAAGTTCTGACATTGTTATGTAATTGTCATTTGAATAATGGTTCTGAGTGGCTGATTTGAGGTTCTAAATGGTCTATAATGAAATAATGAAACCATTTGTTTTCTTTTAAAATCAACATTTATATGAATATTATGTAATTATTTATATAATACAATTTTGTTGATAGCTTTCTCCTCCATTATTGCATTAAAACTTTTAGAATTAGATATCAGATAACATGCTTATATGAATGTGACTGTAGTAAACCTAAACAACAAAATATTTTTCTTTGATACAGACACATGATTTTACTAAACAAATGTATGCTTTGCATACAACATTATTGAACAAAGCGGCATGCTTCATCTTTAAGATCCGGCCACAGTGTTTGCATTTGGCGTGAAAGGACATAAGGGGATGTCAACTGTGATTTTGGACGAAAACGATGAAGGCGTGCAGTTATTATGTGAAGTTGACAGCAATCCAATTTCGTCTGTAAAGATTCTATTTGAAGGCAAGTTTAAGAATGAATCATCAGGTGTTAATCATGTCTCATTCACATTAAGTAGCGTATCATGTCTTGATAGCGGTGACTATTCGTGTGAAGGAGGCAACAAAATTGGAAGGTCTTCTAGAAGGAACATCCAGTTACTTGTTAATTGTAAGTAAATATAATTGACCTAAGAAAAATACAATATCTATGTTTAGATACAAAGAATGCAATAGAACTAGTTTCTGCTGGACCACTCACATATTTATGTAAAATTTACAATAATTTTGTTTAAACTTTTAAGTGTGTATTTTGTGAGTGTTTACTTCAAATCAAACAAAACTAAAAAACACAACAACATCAAGTTCTATGTTACAGGTACACCGCGTCCACTGTTTCGGATAGATCAGAATATTTCAAGCATATTACACGCGCAAGCCATGATGAGTTTTACTGCTTTAGCCTATCCAAATCCAGGCTCAAAAGGATTCTCTTGGCAGAAGGAAAATGGCGCAAACTGGACACCAGTTTTGGCTAATAGAGATTTACTGATAACATCAACAGCGTTACAGTCTAATTTGACTATTCTTAACATAACAAAGACTGATTACGGACGGTATAGACTCATTGTAAATAACAGTATAGGAACGTTCTTCCAACACTTTAACTTAGCTGAAACGATATCGGACGAAGGTAGTGTTCAATTTATATTAAGTTGGTATGCACGTTAATGTGTTAATGCGCTTAGGTTATGATATGAAGAGGTTGACACAATTGATTTCTATCTACAAAAGTTGACGAGGAAGTAAAACAAAATCCTATAGTGGTAAAGTAAAGTAAGACCTAAAATGTGCGTACAACTGTCTTATAAGTATGTCTTTGTATCAAATTTTAGGTCATCGAACGTTCTGTTTGCCTGTTGCAACAGAAAGTACGATTATTGCACAAGGTTCTAGTTTAAAAATGGATAAGACAAAAATCAAACATCGTATGAATCGTACCAAGCCCAATCTTTGCAAATACAAACTGGTTTACATTGACTTCTGTAGGTTTATTATCATATAGTTATGTGTATTGTTGTACCAATTAGAAATTATTATTTATAATAAAAAGTTGCTTTATCTTTGTTCTGTTCCTGCATAACATAAAACAATTTTCTTTTTTATTTTCAAACGAGCTATCAGGAGAAGGAGCAAAATGTGACATTTGTGATCCTAATAAAAGCACAATCATAACTGGAGTATCTCTTGGAATATTAAATGCAATACTTGTTGGAGTACTGGTCACCATTCTTTATAGAATGAAAACAAATAGAAAAGGTAATATAACATAATAACTTTATTCTTGATTAAGGCAAAATATCTAAATCTTTATTAATTCCTATTTTAATTTACGGCAAAAGTTTTGTTTTCAATAGGCGTTTTTTGCCGAACTAGACATCCAGCAATTTTGCAGTGGTTTTAATGCTGGCTGTTAGAACAGAAAAAAAATGTTAAACTTCATACTTTTATATTGGAAAAACATAACATGAAATTGTAAAATAATAAATTTGTTGACGAAATTGTCTGTCAAATTGATGGACTGCTTTGACATTCATAAAATGAATGAAAATATCATTTTGTAGATTAAATTTGTTTTTCATTTTTCAGGATCGCAGTCACAGGAAGAGAATGTAAGGCAAGAGTAAGTACTTTCGATATGAAGACACCTATACGTTGATATAATGTTTCATAGTACAAACAATACACTATACACTATCCGCTTAAGACATGAAATAGATATAGCAATACATTAACCAAGCAATCCGAAACATCCGTCATTTAAAAGGCACATATGGAAATACGATGAAGGCAATTATACTAAATTTAATAATATACTGTCGAATACCAATTGGGACAATATCCTTTCAATAGAAAATCTTGACATTGCAACATCATTATTTACAGATACTATTTTAGATGCTGCGAAAGAATCGATTCCCAATAAAAACGTCACAATCCGCCCAAATGATGTCCCTTGGTTTAATTCAAATATTCGGAAGCTAATTCGCTCTCGTAAAAGAATACACAGTATAGCTAAAAAGAAAAATACCGAATATTACTGGGACAAATTTCGTAGAAAACGTAACGAAGTAACGCTTGAAATGAAGAAAGCCAAAGCTGAGCATCATAATAACTTAATTGAAAAACTTAATAACAATACATTAAATCCGAAACAATGGTTCAAACTAGCAAAATCAGAACTCAAACAAACAAAAGCAGATGACTTTATACCTCTTTTAATCACTCAAAACCAACATGCAAATACCGATAACGAAAAAGCAAACCTATTAAATGACTATTTCTCTCAACAATCTACAGTTGATGATAACAACATGGATCCTCCAACATTAAACTCTCATCCAACAACATCCTTTACTAATATTATCATCACACCACAGGACGTAAAGGATTCAATTGCTAATATTAATCCCTCGAAATCGTCTGGACCTGATTTCATAAGTCCCCGTCTTTTAAAAGAAGCTAGGAATGTACTTGCTGCACCACTTTCTTCTTTTTTAACAAGCTTCTTTCATCTTCATATTTTCCAACCGACTGGAAAAAGGCACAGGTAACCCCAGTCTATAAAAAATCTGACCCTTCTTCCCCCGCGAATTATAGACCTATATCACTTTTAAAGCTGCCTAGGTAAACTCATGGAACGTTGTATCCATAAACATATGTACAATTTTGTGACGTCAAACAAATATTCTTTCTGAATTTCAATCTGGGTTCATAAAAGGTGACTCCACCACCAACCAATTGATATTCATTTATAACGATATTTGTAATGCCCTTGATGATGGTAAAGAAATTAGAATGGTCTTTTGTTATATCTCAAAGGCGTTTGACCGTGTTTGGCACCGTGGCCTACTAAGTAAATTATCATCGATAGGTATATCCGGTCAACTTCATCAATGGTTCGCTTCATATTTGTTTAATCGTCAGCAACGTGTTGTTATTAGAAATTCAATGTCAAACTGGAGTAATATATTAGCTGGTGTGCCACAAGGCTCAATCTTAGGACCTCTACTATTTCTCATTTATATAAATGATATTGTCAGTAAAGTAAAATCAAAAATCAGACTTTTTGCCGACGACACTAGCCTTTATCTTATTGTTGACTTACCTGACTCTGCCTCTTCTATTCTTAACAATGACTTGCAAAATATACATTATTGGGCAAAATCGTGGTTAATCGATTTCAATCCCAATAAGACAGAATCCATGATATTCTCGCGCAAAAAAACCCTCCTCACCCTGACTTAAAAATGAACGACACCACAACCAAAAATTTCGATGAGCATAAACATTTAGGCATAACTTTTCAAAACGATGGAAAATGGCACTCTCATATCTCGTCAGTTGTAATCAGGGCTTGGAAACATATTGGAATATTAAGAGCATTCAAGTTCATTCTAAACAGAGTCTGTCTTACAAAACTTTATTTTACTTTCATACGACCACTATTAGAATATATTGATGTTGTCTGGGATAACTGTAATAATTACGAAAAACAAAAGATCGAATCTGTTCAAATAGAAGCAGCGCGTATTATCACGGGAGCGACTAAACTTTGCAGCATTGAAAAACTTTATAACGAAACAAAGTGGGAAACCTTAGCAACTCGCAGGAAAAAACATAAACTAATAACATTTTACAAAATGAAAAACCACATAACACCAAATTACTTATCAAACATAATCCCTGAACAAACACAAAATAGATACCAATTACGTAACTTCAATAACATACCGATTGTAAACTCTAGAACTCAACTATATCAAGATTCTTTTCTTCCCTCTGTCATTCGTGACTGGAACAATTTATCCGATGAAATTAAATCAAGTTCAACCTTAGAAATCTTTAAATCAAAATTGAATGGCCAACTTAAAAAGCCCCCCATATATTATCTCACTGGTGATAGAAAAGCACAAATACTTCACACTCGTTTACGTCTAGGCTGTAGTTCGTTAAATCACGATCTCTTTCGCAAATCTATTGTTAACGACTCACACTGTTCCTGTGGTAACATTGAAACTGTAAATCATTATCTTCTTTCTTGTCCAAACTTTCAAGTTCAAAGAAATACTTTCTTTGCAAACCTTCAGTGTCCTTTAACTGTTCAAAATTTACTATATGGCTCTGAACATCTCAACCTTGAACATAACACAATTATCTTTAGTTGCGTCCAAAAATACATTGTCGCCACCAAACGTTTCACTTCTTAGTGCTTGCGCATGTTACAGAACGACTTCATAAGCAGGTTTTATACATTATACTAAGTTAACTGTTTTATCGGTAGCAAACAACTCAGTTCCACACTGGAACCCTTTTTTCACTTTTCAAAATCTCAAAACATTACATATGATTTTGACCAGTCAGCCGTCATCCTTTCCAACCCACTGAGGAAATGAATTTACATAAGTCTTGGACTTGTTTTCAAATCCTCTTCCGAATTTAATTAAGTTAAAAATTCTTTAGCATTGTATATCTTTAACTTATATCATCAGTCTTTCATGTATTTTATTATACAATGTATTCTGTTTGTAATGTATATTTATGTTTTGTAAATTCTGGAAATAAATATTGTTTAAATTAACCAAGCAATCAGTATTAGAACATACTAGTAAGCCTGATCGTTTAACATATACAATTTAATGATCAATTTACGTTTATAAATATTTTTATGCTCGATCTTTATTTAGGGAGTATGTCAACGTATCCCAGTCTAATATTGCAGAAGACAAAACAAGGATTAGACAATATAGCGTTAGAAATGACACCGATATAAGCATCGCCAGTGTTACAGCCGAGGGCAACAGAGAGTATATGGATCTTTCTGAATATTCAAGGGACGATAAAAGTACATATGATGAGCTAAAAAAGTAGTCATGAACTGCATAAAATACTTCATGTGTTTACACGTAAAACACTGAAATTATATTATATATTTTAGCTTTGTACTACAGTGTCTTTATTTTAAGATATAAAATTGTACTAATTATAACATATATTTTTTCACAAAAAGTGCAAGGTCAGATCCCCTTGTAATTGTCTAACACTTTGGTTTTGTATCCTGAATATCTTATTAAAAGCGATCCCTCGGAAGCATTAAACAACAAAATTACATGAAATCTGTAGACTCGGTTTAATTGAGTCTGCACACAAGAGATAATAAAAAAAGGGCATCAATAAATTCTTCATTATGCCTACATAAGAATTTAAAATTGATGCAGAAAATCCTATCTGTTCGTTTTATTTATATGTATTTGCATATTTTCAATTCGTGACGTAAGAAAGTTCTTAACAACAATAACCTTGATAGTCATGTATATAACCTTTGATTTACGTTCATTTTTACGACATATCTTGTTTGAATTATCTTTTTGATGATGCGTAATGATAATTGTAGCTGTTGAAAATGTTGATATTACCTTATAAGGTATAAGTTTATCTATAATTTCTATAAATAATATTAGTTTCATTCGGATAAATGCATGAATGAAAATATATTTCCTTTACATTTAGGAGTATTTCATAATTTTTGTTTGTACAAAAAGTTCAAATTTTGTATAGACATACAAGTATTATTTTTATAATTATTATTCTTATTTCTTCGTTGTTATTATTAAATCAGAGGGTCGTACATACAATAAGTATAATTGCTCTCTTTTTGTGTAAACTTAATTTGTTACCTTCTCTAAATGAAGATTTCATCATTATTACACGCATTTGCGATACACAGATGATGATCCGTTATATTATCAGAGAAACTATGTTGAGAAGTTCAAGTTTTGTTGTACACGTATTCTTCACGTATTTAGAATTTCGAAATCCAATGTCTTGGATTTGTTACCGAGAAAATACATGTACTATACGAATATTGCAAATTCTAAATTTTCTCTGGAAATAAAAATGTATATTTATCCATATTCCTTCCTTAATGTTGAAAGATCCTGCATGTTTGTAATTGAGTGTATACCACTCATATGGATAAAATTATGCTAATACAACAATTTTCAAACATCGAAGAATATGTAAAATATGTACTACAAATATTTGTACATTTTAAATGTAATCATTAGATTATATGCATTCATTTCTTATTGGAAAATTTGACTTAGAATTTATAGAAAACAAAGTTTTTATTACCTCCCTTTATTTACATGAAATATTAAATTCGGTAATATCTTTATAAATAATACTTTTTGGAACTTACAATAATGATAAATCATAATTTGAGCATCATATTCTTTTTATAAAACCATGAAAAATTATGTAACAGGATCTTTAATAATAAACAACATTGTTTTTTGCCAATTATGCCTCAAGTATTCATTTATTTATCAACTAAAATGCTGTCGCTTTTCAACGATCTACAGAAACAATATATTAATATATCTAATATAATAACAATTTAGTAGCCTTTATTGTTCTGATATTTCTGTACAGATTTGTTTCATAATACAATTTATCTTTTAGCCATTTTTGCTGAACATTTTCATTGTTCTTATAGTGAAACATTTTAGTATGTTGTATTCTTTGTTTCACCTATTTTAACATTAACTTTTCTATAATATGACTGTCGACATTGCAGCTCATTCAATTCTTTGTTTAATCTCATAGGAGTATATAAGATATCGTTTTTAGTAATTTTCTCACATAATTATAATCACGTTAAGGTAATTGTGCGGAAACGTGATTAATTGATGTAGACAAATGACTGCGGAGAAAAGATTTTATCACAAAACATTTTGCAGTGAATGAAACAATAAACAAAGCCCCTTTTCCCAATAGACAAATTCTGCATGTCTGGCGGCAATGTGGACAAAGTGTTAAATTAGCGAAAGATGATTATTATGACATGAAATAAATATTTTGATTTAAATGATAACAATATCATAATTAAGTTAACCAACCGTTAAAAATGCAGTAATAAAATCCTAATATGGTTGTCCTATACATCAAGAGTAATCGTATAGCGTCAGATCTATTAAGGCTGGATTAAATTCCTTAAGAAAAAAAAATGTTTACTTTGTGGGGGTTTTCTTTTCCGCTGGTCAAAGAATCATGCGCTTTTATTGAAATGAAGAACAACTACAGTCTTGGTTATTAAATTAAGATATTTTTATTGTCATGACAAATCTAGAGTGGCAACCATTTTATCAATAAAGAAGCCTTGCTTTCAAGAAAAATCGGCTTTAACGTCATCACAAACTTAAAATGAATATTGATCTAAAACGTCGTGTTTATTACATTTTATTCAGATAATATACAACCAAGCATTAGAATCAGTTTCGATTGATAGAAAGGTATATTAAAATGAAATAATGTATTTGAGAAAAAAATATACTTACTAATGTATTGTCGATATCTTCAACATTTTGTAAGATTCATACGTAAACGATTATTCATTCAAGTGCTGTTTTTTATGAAATATATGTTTTTGTTATGTCCTTTGTAGACATCGACTGTTGATTAGGGACCACATTTTTTGTTTACATTACTTTATATTTAACAGTTTATGTTGATGTGCATAAAAATTGGATATCGAAGATAGACATCGTTTTTTTCACTACATGATATATACTGTATTTTATATTTATTTATTATTTATAAATTATCATTAAATATACCGGTACATGATATTGACTAATTTCAGAGTTATTCGTTTTCCTATATTCCATAACGAACCCTAACCTACCATGATTTAATGAAAGGAAGCTGAGGTAACCAAACGGCGACACATGGGACAATCAGTACTTATAAATGAATGTAAAGTTTCTTGCTGAAGGAAACAACCTTGAACCCATTTAATAAATTATAAATTATTTGATCCAAGTTTTATATTTTGTGATTAAAAGCAATAATATTGAACTGAATGAATATTGAATGAAGAGTTACATCATTTAAATACTAATAACTTTATACACGTTCTTAACAATATACATGCTAGTACACAATTTGTCAATGAGTCACTCTTCTCAATACATCGCCTGATTAACTTCATTGTTTGTACTTACATTTTAATCTCTTCAGTTTGTTTTAGATTCTGAAAACGTCACCCATTCAAACCTTTTCAATAAGCAATAACTTTGCTATTTTATTACCGTCCACAAAACAGACTACACCAAAGTTTGCCTAACTAGCATATATGATATCAGGATTTGTAATTCTCTCACATATGATTTCACGCTAAGTCAACTGTGCGGAAACGTTATTAATTGACGTAGACAAATGACTGTAGAGAAAGGATTGTATTACAGAAACACTTTGCAGTGAGTACATAAAACAAGCTCCCCTTTTTTCCAAATTGTGCATGTCTGTCAGCATTCAGAATAAAGCGTTAATTCATCTGAATTTAATTGTTACAGACATAAAAATCACAGTTATAAAAACGTTATGGTATGCTATTGATAACTGAATTAATCAATGAACCAATAAAGGAAATCATGCGTCAAAAGTGCAATAGAAATGCACAAAATAGATAAATTATCACATTGTGTAATATCTTAGTCAATGTCGTTTGTTTTGCTAAGCGAACACAATTAAGTTTCAACTTTTTATTAAAAAGAGAAACACAAAATCCAAAAAGAATGCCCAAAATGACAAAATTGAAAATAATGCAGGCTCAGTTTTTTATGAGCCTGATTTGACGGTACTTGAAAACACAAGTTACCTTCCACGCCCCTAGCCGCGGCTTATACAGAATGTAACATTTAAAAATGAAAATGGCTAAATTTTGAATTGGAAAAACATTCATAAATTGTTTGAATAAAGCATATTCTTTGTTATAAGGAAAGAAGGTATCTGTATTTGATAGAATCGGTATTTTTGCTTTTTTATCTCGTGAAATAGCTTGAAGTACAGAAAACAGGTTTTTTTTTCAAACGAATATTTGATAGAAATCATTTTATAACTTTTACATAATGCAAAAGCGCGAAAACCATTTAAGCGTAGTTCCTCATAATTTATCCATTTATTGTTCGACATTTTACATCATTAAGATGAAATAGTTTGCCTAGACGCACAATATATGGCGCAATTATGAATAAGATGCTATCATTGGAATGTTATTTGTATAATTTGCGCAATAAAGATGACAATAAAGAAAGAGTTGTTGCAAGATAAAACATAAAAACCTGGTTGTGGGAAACATAAATAAAGACGAAAATGAATATTATTGTATTGTGTATTTCACTACATGATTATTATAATGTACACATTTATATTTCCTTTTATTTACATTCGTGCAAAAAAGTGAATAATGTGATTCTGACTTGTAGGAATCGATCAATGATAGTGCTTGCTCTTTCAATCGAATGGTGAAGAGCAATAATAACGCTTTAATGCTGCTATGCAAGCAAACACATATTCCTTAAAAAGAGACTCATAAATATTCATAACTTTTCAAACGCATACAAGTTAACAAAACCACAACAACAAAACCACTTGTTACTAACCGTTGTTTATCATTGTAGGTTCTATTCCAATAGTGAACATGATCTTTGTTTCTTCAAGCTGACGAACTTTGGTTCATCATATACCCAATTCGAAACTTGATTACACGTGTAGCTTCAGTGGTCTGTCTATACGTTTTCAGCTTGACAGTCTACATTCCGGCCAATTAAAAAGTATCTTATGCAAACTATATAAATATAGCTAAAAACAACAGTTTAAACATTTTCGTGCTTTAGTTTTTGTTTTAATTAAATAAGTTTGATAACTGATATGAAAATATTTGCATGTATGACTAATTCTTAAGTTTAAGGAACTCAAATGACGTCCAAAGACTTAGAGCATATTTTTTTAATTTCTTTTAAATATTAAAGTAATCATTCTGGAAAAGGACATAGCGAATTATCTGAAATATTGCACTCAAGTTGTTGGCCCACAACCAAATTAAAAGGTACAAAATCTCCAATATTTCCAACCCCGACATGTCAAATACCTGATGAGGCAAATCATTGAAATAAATTATCACTGAAATACGTTGAAATTTTCTGGAAAATAAGAAGACTAAGCCGAATTGTCAAAGGAGAACAAATTCTTATAAAGATGGCACACGTTCCTCAAAAAATACCAGGACACATTTATTGTTAAATAAGCGGATTATGAATTGACAAACCAAAACATATTTCCAATTTATAAGGTAAAATATGAGGAGTACACGAACTTGACCTTACTAATGATTTTTAAATTCTTAAGACTGAGACAAACACAATGCTGTGATTTATTCAAATGATATACAGCTTGACTTTAAAAAGAATTTTGTGTAATTGAGAGTGACATTTAAATGCAAGTTTGTCTACCTAATCAATTCATGGCAAGCATTTGAGAAATATTTCTAGAATTCATATGGACACTTTTTGGATTAAATATGCTTAATGTAATCCAATGAGACTCAAATTTAGCTTTTTATAATACCAAAATTGTATCTCAGTGTAGATAAATGTCAACCAAAGAGAACTTTCAGACCTTATTTAAATACATTTTGAATTTGAATATTCTATTTTAGATAAAAGAATTGTTTTTAAAATACAATAGAGTGCGTGTATCTAAAAAGTATCTTAGACTACATCAATCCATCAGTTGAAACGATTTCAAAGTGTAAGTGTCACTTAATATTGTAATGAAAATGTGTGTCATCCATTTGTAATGCTCATTGTTATTTCAGATTTCTTTTGTTCCGGACCTTAACGACAACGATAAAACGAAGAATATTAGACAATAACAAAATGGCAGTTGTCTACAAGAATGGCAACACGTACACACGTACGCGATTTAAAAGGAAGCAACATATGCAAGCATATTGGTTGTCATCATTCTAATTTAAATGTATCTTAATGTAATTGATGCCCGTATGTGAAATGTCTTATTTTGACGTAATAAATATCTGGCATCATGTCTGCATGCAATGATCACAATTTAATTTTTTGAATTAAGAGTAGAAATGAGTGGCACGGTGCACTACTGGAAATCAAATAACATTACCTTGTTTCTTACTTATGATCTGTAACTCATCTCTAAAGAATTCTACAAATGTTTTGCATGATAAGACGTGAATTTTAGGGGATCCATCTTGTAGTTAAGAATATGACTCTCAAGTTCTCATAGCTTGGTTTGATCTGCCCGGATTATATGCAAGACAATATACCGATGTAGATTGTTTTAATCTCGTTTATAAAGGATTTGCAAGACAGCTGATCAATACCATTTTGGTGTAATAACATGCATGCAACCTGAGTCTGAAATTGAAAGGCACATGCACAGTCATGCAAAATCAATAAAAAATTTAATGAATTTTAAAATTGAATTTGATTTTTTTACAATGTCGTGTTTAACAATGTCGGGTGTAACATAAAATTATATAGCCTAAAAACCAATGGAAACCTGTTATCATATACTTTATTTAAAGTATTTCCATGACTGTAATGTCATGTTTAAAAATCTGTGACTCGTGAAATGTTTCAGTCATTTTCACACCAGTGTCATATTTAAAATTAGCATAAGTTTGTGTAAGGAAATTGATCGGTATTATGCACTAAACAATACCATCCATGACCAAACTATGTTTTCAATTAGTCACAATTTGACCACCTCTACGTGTTTAATTTTTGTCTTATATAATTCAATCTGTTGGGAAAATGAATATTTGTTTAGATACAAAAAATTTACAAAAGCTACCATGATTGTGGTACCACAGGTATTATATTAGACTTGTTTTCAATATTCAACTGGCATTATCAGGGCATCGCTAATGTTTTATTCTTAACAGGGAAGTTACATTGTCAACATAACTCAGTATGTACCAATAAAACAGAATCAACTGAAAATATATTCACAGCATGTTCTATCAAATAAACTTACAATGTTTCTATGAACCTTTGCAATAGACGAAACATATGTATACAAAGGTTGATACTATGTTTTCTGAGAAGGTATATATAAGGCATATATAAGGATAAGAATTTAGTGCTAACAGTCAACTCAAGGCACAACAAGAACCAAAATACCAACCAACTTATCCACATGAACTATTTTAGCCAAGATACCTTGATTACAAAAAAATGTAACTATAATAACTAATGATCACCTCAGTTAAAACAATCTGCAACCTTAACCTCATACACTGCAACGCCATACGTAGGGTTTGAGTAATAGATAACTTTTGACATTGAGGTCCGCTTAAAAACAGTAGTTGCAGTTGTGCTTAAAGTTAACTTGACTAACAGAACAGAGCACAAACTGCTACTGGAGAAACAGAAAACAACTCGTATAAATATTTTTGTATTACCACTCTGTTTACATTAATTATTTTGTAATCTTAAAAGTTTGTATTTTCGTGAACAAAATTACAGCCAAGTTATTTATTGATATTTGACATTGAAATGTTCTTTTACTCGTTACTGTTTTTTTTTACACTTTTGTTATGAGAGCATATGAATGTGGAACTTTTCTTTAATAACTAAACGTTTAACCAAGATTAGTACATTCAAGACAAACGATTTGACGTGAAAAACATTATACTTTTCTTTACATATATTTATGCACAAATTCTAAAGAGAGATAATAAAATAAGGAGCATCAATAGCTTAGTGGTTGAGGCTGCCAAACAGTACCAAAATGCCTATAGTTTTTCGTGTGCCT